AATGATATAGTCAAATGTCTTGGTCAATCAACAGAAGGGTCGTTATTTGTGGATGACTTCTTGATCTGTTACAGATCTAAGAACATGCACACGATAGAACGACAACTTCAACAGAGTTTAAACAAACTACAAAATTGGGCAGACGAAAACGGCTTCAAATTCTCTAAATCCAAAACTGTGTGCATGCATTTCTGTCAAAAACGAAAAGCACACAATGACCCAAATCTAACACTCGATGGCACTAGAATTCCTGTTGTTGAACAGACTAAATTTCTCGGCCTCATTTTTGATTCGAAACTCTCTTTCATACCACATATAAAGTATCTGAAGGATAAGTGTTCCAAGGCGTTAAACATTATACGAGTCCTTTCTCATACTGATTGGGGAGCGGATCGTGAAATGCTTTTGCGCCTATACAGATCACTTATTCGAACAAAACTGGATTATGGTTCTATGGTATACGGGTCAGCGCGCAGTTCGTACCTTCAGATGCTAGATCCAATCCATAACCAAGGGCTACGTCTTGCCCTGGGAGCTTTTCGAACAACACCTGTAAAAAGCCTGTACGTGGAAGCAAATGAACCATCCCTTTATGACAGAAGAATAAAACTTTCATTACAATTTGCAACTCAATTAAAATCAAACCCTAAAAATCCTGCTTTCAACCAAGTATTCAACCCCAAATACCAAAACATATTTACGCAAAACCAAAAACTTCTGCCAACATTTGGTATCCGAATTTTGAATTTCCTGCAAGAACTCAACATAAAATTGACGGACATAGCTGAATTTAACATATCTGATGTTCCTCCGTGGACCATTCAAACCCCCGATTTTAACTTTACATTACATGAGCGAGGGAAATCAAGTGTTATGCCCGAAGAACACAAATCCTCCTTTCGGGAATGCATTTCGAATTACCCTTCTCATACACAACTTTACACCGATGGCTCCAAAGAAGGTGAGAAAGTGGCAGCAGCCTGCTGTACTGCCAATACTTGCACTTCAGTCCGACTACCAGACGGCGCCTCCATCTTTTCTGCTGAAGCATGCGCCATTGGTTTGGCCCTCGACCATATCGATGAACACCGCATTAAAAAGGCAATTATTTGTTCAGACTCTCTATCTGTCCTACAGAGTTTACAGTTACGAGATCCTAAAAACACAATCGTACAAAACCTTGCTCATCGAATATCTCGTATATTAAAAAAGTCTAAAATAACTTTACTATGGATTCCGAGCCATGTCGGAATAAAAGGCAACGAATTTGCTGACAGGGAAGCAAAAAATGCATTGAATCTCGAACAAACAAATATCAAACTACCATACACAGATTTTAAACCTACTATTCGTACAGCCATTCAAAATGAATGGCAGAAACGCTGGTCTCTGGAGACCAACAACAAACTTTTTAAGATACAACCGAAACTTAAAACATCTATTCCCAGTCGGAAAGATCGTAGAGAGGAAGTTGTCCTCGCTCGGCTCCGCACTGGGCACACATATCCTACTCATTCGTACCTTTTAAAACGAGAAGATATACCTTCATGCCACGCATGTGACACTCCATTTACAGTGGAGCATTTTTTAATAGAATGTTCCGATTTTAAACACATTCGTGATAACTACTTCCGAGTCCCGGATATGAAAACACTTTTCAGTTCCGTGGATTCGAAGGCATTATTTAACTATTTGAAAGACATCGGTCTATTTTATAGACTCTGATGTCTTTTAACCCACCTTATCCTTTTTGACGTTATATATATATCGCATATTCCATATCATCTATTCGTTATCTCTTTTATTATTTTAACCCCCTTTTATTATTTTTAATTATCTACACATACAATGCGAATACTTTTAAAATGAACCATTTTATCTGATTTTATCTTCGCTATTCACATGTTTGTTAAAAAAGTAAAGTGAATAAATAAATCACCATGGCCCTAAATGACCACAGCCGTCGATGGGCCGTTAAACATAAACAAACAAACAAACAATCCACGTGTAAACCAACATGGCTATTTGTGTCTCATTAACGTTATGCGTTAACGTTAACGTTTAATGTGAAATATTGTTAAATGTGTCTTATTTACCTTTTGCAATCAAGCGTGTGTTTGCATGGATTATCATGGAAAATCATCAAGCGTATATCGAATGGTACCAAAGCTATATATCATATGCTCCTCACGCTTATATAATATGTTATTAAAAGGATCCTTTTTTAAATCTATTGGTGGTTTTTTTTGGTTTTTTATCTGTTGTGACTTTTGCTCATAATCTCATGTTATTCTCAATTATATATTTTATTCTACATTAGTACTAAATTAAGTTATACAAGCTACTGTGAGGTATGATATAAGAGGATTTCATTTCCTGTTGTATTGGACAATTCTTTTATCAATTACTTCCCATCTTGTTTCTTGGATTTAGTATTGTTTTTATTCTTTAAGGTCTGGTAAAATAGCATACTATTACATGTAAGACTCAACAAGTAGATCTGATCTCTAAATCGAAATTAAAAAAGACCACAGCTTCCCTATCCAAGGATCAAATCAGAATTCAATATCGATAGAAAATATCTCAGCTTCCATTCACAAGAACTAAATCCAAACTTAATTTGGATAGAATGATACGACAGTTTCTATATCGATAGAAAAATACCACAGCTACAGTAACCAACTATTGAATCATAATTCCAAATCAGTAGAAAAGTACCAAACCTTAAAATCACAAGGACTAGATTTGAAGTCAATATCAATAGAAAAATACCACAGCTACAAAACACAAAGACGATATCTGAACTCACTAAAGACACTTAAAGGCATCATATCAATTATGGACAACAACGACAAAAAGACAATTAAAACCCCCAGAAGGAAAAACCTATCAGCGGCACCATGTGCTCCGGAAGGATAAACGTTCCATGCATATCATGCAGCACATGACAAGTTTCCAATCAAACTCGTAAAAGTATGTAGGTCTTTAAACATTTTAGATACGGAAATGTCATTAAGTGAATCAGATAATGATAAACGACTGTTAAAAGATTCTTGGATAGGGTTAAAAAATTATCTTGTGTGAGATAAATAATTGTAAATTAGATGAATCGATACTCAAAATCCTAATACTTAGAGCAGTTTTTTTTATTAGCAAATCAAATGTGACAAGTAAATCTCTTAAGCAGGAGAGGTTGGGTTGTTGCTCTTGAGCAAAAGAAAGTTAATTACTGTGAAAATTACTACAATTGCGTTTTTCAATAGTGGTTGCGATGAGGTCACCCGAATTTTCATTAATTTAATATAAATTAAGCTAAGTAAATATCTTTATATTCAATAAAGGTTTTTTTTATAAATCTACAAATATTTTCAGTTGACATTGACATTCAATCAATAACCATTGTTCACGCAAATTGGAGTTATCTTCTCATAACCAGACCATAGAACGGGACAAGTTTCTATAATGATAACACAATAAGAGAAGTGGGCGGAACTAAGCAAATTTCTTGGAACAAGAGTCAATTGTATTAAGTCATCAACAGAAGGTACATTTTAGGGGGAGCAACCGAGCTTATGCATATTTAAGGCTGTTACTTCAATTGAACCGATTAGGCGTTAATATGTTTCGGAAATGGATTTTCTGTTTGCTGATCAGGCACACGAAAAGATAGTTACGAGCCTTTTGCAGAAAAAACCCTTTAATATGAGGGTCAGTTTTAGGTTAATAGTCGAGTGGAGCATGAGTTAGTATAGCTTAGATTGCTTCGGTTACTATTCAGTTTACACCTGCTCATATAGAGTTATCACGTAACAATCTAAAATGACCAAAATAGCTATAGAAAGATATTCATTAATCGAGCTAAGCTACATTAAACAATCTTTGTAGAAAAATAAGTTACATAAGACTGATGGTCACTTAACGTAGGGTTTCAAAACAAGATAAAATCATTTAAAACTTAGTAGTTATATTACTTTTAACAGAATAAATGTGTATCATGTGTCTTTATTGTAATGATAGATCCTTATACAAAGTGATTATAAGGGAGAGGAGGGGGGGGGGGTCGGGGAGGATAAAGGCCAAAACATACATGTATTAAGGTTTTCATTGCACCATGTGGCCATTTCGTATTATTTGGACTCATCTGTGGTATTAAAGGTAATTTAGAGTGTAAAATCGTTAGAATTCCGAAATATAATGTGAATAGCTGGCTTTTACACATTTCATAACGTTATAAGTTTACGTCTTTCGCTTACCACAAATGCTTTTAATGTAAACTAAGTATGGATACATGAGCGGCTTTGTTACTCACACCAAGGACCAAGCTGTATCTATGTTATAAAGAGGTTTACTAACGTGTGATGGTTGGTTTTCATGTTCGTTTATTTAACTCGAGTTCATTAATTTTCAAATTCAGTGTCGTTCACAATTTTAAAAGATAACTTACGAAAGACAGATAAACATGATACCCAATCACCACGACGTTCAGATAGTATATATGGAAAAACATGATTTTCTTGAGAATACATTTTTTCCTGTTTCCGATCGGGGAAACAATTGCCAAGAACTATGTGACGTCTTAAATAGAAGGTTTACCAATGAAATAACGCTGAGGGCGGTAACCACTAGTGGGTAATCAGTAATATTTACCAACTCCTATAGCTGGTTTATTTAATGAGTCAGGAGTGGTTGTGGGAGACATGATAAAATGAAATATTGCCGTTTATAGTGTTATCGTATTCTATTGTCTTGTAGACTGAAATGACCTCACTCACCCTGGTGGCCGTGTATCTGGTGTGTCTGTGTGTCGGAAGACACGCTCAGATTGTCCAGCGCACGGGGAAAGTGGTCGAACCGTCTCAGTATAACAGTATACAGCGTCAGAGATACGGTCATCCGTCAAGTGCCGACTCGTCCGGACATGCAACCATTTGTGGTAATTATAAGAACAGGACTTTATTGTTGTTCTGATTTTTTTTTCGTGAATTAAAAACGCTTTTTACAGATACAGCAAGTAGCATAAACGGACCTGTGACTAAAAATAGAAATCGCCAAAATCAGATCATGTTCTTCAAGTATGTATTTTGCCATTAAACTGCCTTCTTTGGAAAGTTATTGTCCTATAACTCTCACAGAATTGCAGACAATTTGAATGATATTAATCAATTTAATTTCAACAAATTAATCAATATATTCCACCGTGAGGATATTCACCTTTTATACGACATAACTACATCAATTGTTGCGACTTACATTGATTAATTGTGCTTTTTAAATCCGATAGCAAGGATGGGTTACCACAAGGAACGCGTATTGTTATTTTTTCAAAAATACACTTAATATAGTGACGTCGGTCAAAACGACGTCATTTACTCACGACGTTACGAACATGTTCTTCATATCACTACACCAATGGCAACAATGCGAGAATTGTGATACGACATATTTCTATTTTGTTGGTAAGGTTATATAGTGGCAATGCAGTGCAAATGGAACGCGTTTAATACTAACACAATTTACTTATTTCTATTTGCTGTTCTCCACTGCGTATTTTTGTAAGATACGACCAACATTAAAATATTCATATGCTGATGTATAGATATTGAATATTTTAAAATGTTGCTTAATTATTTTTTGTGATAGGTCCCCCTAACGTGAAAGCGTCTTTCAGCTGGTACCCCAAAACTCCCAGTAGAAACCAGAACATCAACTTTGTTTTGAACATCACTGCACGTAAGTACTATTTCCTCACATCAGCTTTTATTGATTTAAAATTACATTACATACTAATATATATATATATTATAAACATAATTTTACAACCATAATGGAAAAGTTTGGTTCAAAATTTATATTCATCACTCTTTCTTATTCCAATGAAAGCGTTAAGAGGTATTAATTTGGGAGGAAACTGGAGTACACGGAGAAAACCAGCGTGGTCATGCAGATAACACTTTCCTTTTTCACGTAAGATCGAAGTATCGAACCCGACCTTCTTGGTGAAAAGCCAGTGCGCTATCAACTGCGCAACCCACCCAACCATTTAATATTTCTCAACACACTTTCAGTTAGTTATTACCATCCCCGGTCGACTTTAAGCATTTAAAATAAGCCACTAGCTTATGTGATAGAGTAATTAAATGTATATTGCTCGTTTATATATTGCTTGTCTCGGGGCAGCATAGGAAGAATGTATCGCCTGTTGATATGTTTTATGTCTATATATATGTGATATGAATCAACAAAAAAATCAATCGAGCAAATACAAACGTTCTTTAACAAATCACTATAAACAAATGTGTGACTCTTTGGATTTTTTCATAAAAAAGTTCCGTGAACAATGGTTTTCTGTAGTTAGAGATTTAATAAAAAAAATAATAATTCACAGTGACTGTTTTTTTGCAAGCGTTCTAAAGATTGACTGATTAATGGCTGCCGGTTAGGGGTTCGAATCCTGATGTTTTGGAACTTTTTTTTATTATTTCATCTTAATTATAGTTTCAAAACAATTCCGCACATTATGGTCTTCTGTTGATATTTTTTCAAAAAGCTGTAGTTATTCCTGGAAAAATCTAATAAATAGTTACAGCTTTTTTGGCAATGGTACAATAAACATTTGCTAATTCAATACGATATAATTTGCACCATCATCAACAGTCTTTGTTATACACGCCCTTCAGTCACTGATGCGGAAGTATCGCGTCTAAGTGTTTGATCCTGGCTCTGATCTGTTGTTTCACATACCACTTGTCGGTGATAATATAGACACGCACACTGCGGTCGGAGTCAGCATCATTGTTGTGCGTCAACACATCTCCTACTGTGACCATTGGAAACCGGTGCTTTGGGAGGGTTTCGGCTACGTTGTGGAATAGCTTACCATCTGCTATTCGACAGTCATATACCCTAGCCAAATTCAAGCAGGACATCAAAACTCACTTACTTCTTCACGTCCGCATTTTAGATTATCTGCACAGATGTCATGTAAATACCACCATTTATTTATTCATTTATGTACACATTGAGATGGTTATCTTCTTGCTTAATGTATAATGGTGATTTTAAGCCATTTGTTTCGAATTATAACTAATACTATTATCCATATGTTGTAAAGCGCTTTAGAGTAATTTTACATATTATATGGGGCGCTAAATAAATATTGTATATTATTATTATTATTATTACACTAAACAGCTTGTTTATTTGTAGTCGTTGATATATCTTCCGGGACCTTGTCTGGTGACATATACCTATCAAAGGTCAAACAGAAGATCTTTCAGTTTAACTATCCCTTTACCTGTGAGAAATTGAGGAGGAAGGTGAAAATCACCTGTCCTATTCAAATGTCAAGTATGTAGCACATAGGCAAGAACCTACCTTAATAGTAATAATAATAATAATAACAGTCTTTACATATTCTTGATAACATATTTAGCATGAAGCTAGACCTACATTAAAACAGTTTTTGGTTCCTATAATTCAGAACATTTTTTAAACAGTCGCCATATGGACTGAAAATATTATATATCATGTTTAATATATTCACGTTAAAATATACTTATTTACGGGAACCAATGAATATAGATATAAAGGTTTTGAAACAAATGATATAAAATCAACCCAAATTATCAATTCAAGTCACTTGAAAAATATTTTTCACTTTAATTTCACATAAATTATTTTTTAATAAGTGGTTCTTTGTTGGGCAACTAAGTAAGCTCTTCTGAAAAACGAAACATTATCACCATGTACCGACCGGTGAAGATGTAAAAAAGAACGATTTTAAAATACACTTCTATCCTTATGATTACAGATCAGTATGACATCCCTTTTCTCGTCAAAGCCGGATTGCTTCCTATGGTAAGTGGTATACCTAAATTCGATAATAAACTTAGTGAAAGCATTGTACATTTGTTTCGCCCAGTCAAACTTACGCCCTTCTCCCGTGAAATCGGTTTTCACCAAGTGTTAATTTCGACTTTCACATTTAATGACTATGTTTATTATTCTGTGTACTTATATTCATTGTGTTGATACACTTGCACTCAATACGGAGGGCGAAAAAAGGCGAAGATTAAACTGCAGCGATCATTTCCTGGCCTACTGTATATCGTTGAAAGTATTCCTTCTTAAACTTTCACGCTGAAACGTGTCATAATTAACATAATGAACAAACATAAATAAAAACAAAATAAAATAATTATCAAAAACATTAGTTTATCAGTGGCACTTGAAGTATTATGGACAATTTAAAAATTTAGAAATATGGAAAACAATTAAGACGAATTAAGACAATAGTATTATAACATTCATTAATATATACAAATTATTATTGAGAAATGGAATAGTTTGCTAAAATTATATGCATATTTTCATTTAAGGGTTCTTTCGAAGTGAACGGAAAAGTGCAGAATCAGGACAAAAAGGTTTTTTTGTGCTTCAAGTTGAACATAACTGTGACTGATTAACTGGAATATATACTAATACACCTTGTTTGTTCAAAATAGTGATTTACCGGATCATTTATATCAAAGTTTATTTTATCCCCAAGAAATATTAAATGACGGATTTGACTGTATAAGAATATCAAAGGGGTTTTCAAAGGCAGACATGCATATTTGTCATGAAAGCAGTGTGCATAGACAACACTTTTCCTCATAATTTTAATTTGCAAACATATAAATTAAGTCGTATTATATAGGGATTGTGTCTGTATTTCTCCACTGACCATGCACGCATGAGAGGGGGATTTACTTACACATCACATTAACGGCCGGCATTATACTTTTTTGAATACTAGATCCGTATATTTGGCTTAAGTTGACCCGTTCATCACAAGGCAAAGGCTACCAAACATATTCAACAACTGTACGAATTGAGATTAGGAAATAAAATTTGATTACAAAACATAATTTAATTATGCATTACATTCTTTCATATTGATAATGTAAAGTAAAAAAAAAGTAAAATAAAGTTTAAATTAAACAACTTTGATCCTTCCAATGATTTTGTTCCTGCATCAGTCCCTTGTCATGCATAGTGTTGACTAGTAAAATAGTGTGTTTTCACATCAAGGCCCGTAATGCAGGTCCGTTGAGACTAACACAGTTCTCTGTAAACACAAAATAAACTACATCAAGAGATCCATTATATCAATCATATATTAAAGTTAAAATAAAATTTACGTTTTCACAAGTATACCTCATTCATCAAGTAAAATATTATTGATGCATCTTTTATTATATTTGACTGTTTATGTGGAGATTGCGCAAATTGCAAATATATTTGTGTTGCTAAAATAATCTTGTATACTAATGGATATTGGAATTTCCTCGTTCCTCTTTCAAACAGTAGGAGAAAAGCAAACAATCCTGTTGATAAATTGACGTCAGATTAGCCTAGTTATCATTTCCTTACGCATTTCTCGAATTGAAGTCAGTTATTTTGTCATAAACTGACAGTTAGTATAAATATGACATAGCAACACCCCCGATATACTGTTTGTGTAGATATATTTTCCTTTTGAGTTTGAAAACATTTTATACACTGGGTAATCGTTTTCAAAATACCTTGCATACATTATTTACTATTTGCATGCGAAGAGTAATAGCATACCTGCATCAAAACCAACTTAGGATTAACGAAGTGGACGTTTTCGATCGTAGGTAAAGCAAGCCCTTTTGCTCCAATAGCTGTGCGAAAAAGAAAATGTGAAATAGGTGACATACATGTTTGTCTGGGAATCTTTATTGGTTGCAAGATCACAATTGGTAGGAATCATTAATGCATGTTAATAAGCTATAGATAATGTTTACATGTATATTATATTCATAGCTAAAGGAAGTGTTAAATTATTATTTTCATTACATTCAAAAGATTGTATTCACACTTTTGGTAAATATTTAGGTGAATTAAAGTATGCATATAAACACAACAGGCAATTTGACAACATATTATTATGTGAAAAAAGGAATAAAAAAATAGTTTAACAAATAAATGAAATTTTCTACATACAATTGATTTTAGGAATGACAACCGTGTTCAAGGCAATTTCGATGATGAATTGTAAGACTTTGTCCTGAAAGAAATGTAACGCAGATAATATTTCGCATTTAATGATTTTAATTGAACCTATATCATCGCGAAAATAGAAGTACCTATTTTGAAATCACATTACAATCCGCTCAGGTTGTTTCTAGGTAAGAAAATTTAGAAAGCTAGATACTTGGGTTTTTGTAAAATTGTAATGTTGTTATAACCATAACATTTCTTTTATTGTCAGAATGTTACAATTATAGATATTTAAAATGATAATGACGTAATGTGGTTTTGTAAAATAAAATAATATAAGGATAATAATGTATTGTGCAAGGGCATTGCAATACACGAAAGGTCAATTGAGAGTCATGTTAACATTGAAACGTTTTTCTCAGTAATACATTTTCCAGTTATTCCTTCAGTATTGAATCACTAAAATCATACGCCTCTGCATTTGCACAACAAACAATTAATATGAAGCATAAAAGATCGTAATGCTATTTAATATTTATCACACTTACGTCGATATGTTTGATTGCCGTCTTCACTAGTTTTACCCCGAATCTGAAATAAAATGGATTACCGTTAATAGAATCTCATTATGTTCGAAATTAAACACGTATTTGATTCTGTTAGCTTTTAAAGTGCAGGAATAATTTCGACTTGAGTGGATCACACCTAATTGTACATGTCATTAAGGACACATGAATTTCGATTTCAGTTTCTGTGATGTTCCGATAGAGACTGATTAAATGACCTGCATGCAAATAATGAAGCTGATGTGGACAGTCCATTGCAAAACCATAATATAACAGTTTTAAATAAAACGTTCCGTTTAACATATTGTGATTGATAGCAATATCTTCAATGAAACATAATTCAGTTTGACATTCTAAAATAATACACAGATATAATTTATAATAATATTATATAAACATCAGTTTTAACTTATAATAGCAAGATGCTTTACTTTTTCAATATTTGAAAGCTACAAAATGCGAACTGGCACAATTCCATTAGGTAGTAGATGTTATTAAACTGTGTTTGAAACATAAAATAAAATAAAATAAATTTGGTCAAGTATACATAACCACATTTTATGTACAAAGCTGCCTGATTACATACAACTATTCTAATCCGGAAATATTTCGGGGGCAAAGTTCAAAACACTTACTTGACGTCCCGTAACTTCCCGTAAATGGTTTCGTTTTTCACTTGTACATCTGCGGAAGTACTCATGGTCTGTGAATAAGTGAACATTCAGTATTAAAGCCGGTTCTTAGGGCAAACAGGTAATATTACATTAACTTGTAAACATACGTTTTGTCCATGAACATTTGTAGATATAAATAAACATATATTATGTAGAGCTAATATTTCACTCGGGTTAAATTAGTGTTACATTCGTAGCCTGCAACTCTAGGACCTAAAAGCTGAAACAGAGTTAACTAGCAATATGTAATATTGACGGGGTAAAGCAAACGTTTAACCCCATGAGTTTAAGCGCTGTACAATATGATATCAATCAACATGATAAGTGTTAATGAATTATTATACAGAAGGTTAATGAATCATACGGAGAGAAGCTATTTCGCTAAGAATGATATAATACAGGAACAAGTTACCTACCAGGACATGTTAAAGATGGTAAATACAGAATGGAACATTTTTTACTGCATTATGAAATTGATACATATCTATTTGAATTTAACTTAAAACTGGCATGACAAAAGTGGCCGTGTTTTCTAGTTTTATCATATATGAATACATATTTACCACGTTAAATGTAAAGAGATAGGCAGGTACACTGTTGATTGAGTATTTGTATAACCTATTCCCACGGTAGATGCCTGCCACAGGACGAGCAAAGAAGTCAATGACGCCGTCTGCGTTACCAATGACACCCGTAGTAGAAACGGAAACATTAGGCACAGAGCCAATGCGCATGTGCAGATCAACTTGACAGTTTGGGTAGCTCTTGTGTAACTGTAAATAAAACAATGGCCTGAAGTAAACGAAATGCAATAGGAGTCATTTTAGATAAGACAATATGCTAGACAGATTTTTTCATAAGGATATTTTTATACATTTAAGTACTGATTGTTAACGCTTTTTTATTCAATAATCAGGCATGCGCATTACTATTCTTGTTGTATATTGTTAATCAGTAATATCAGTAATACCACATACCTCTGGAATCAGATTGCCAATACAAAGTAGTGTGTGACACGTTGTGTTTAAAACCGAGCGATTGGCGGGAGGAAGCTGAAATGAATTGCATTAGAAAAATAGGATTATAACAGGCACACATAGTAGTAGAATTTTATTTTTACTATAGTTTAAGGGAATATCAATGCTGAGACAATGTGTACACATATAAAGTCGATTGCGAAAATTTGTACCAAAGAAATGGTTCATCAATAGCAAACCATGCAGAACAGTGCATCCTATTCCAACAAACCGGTTTGTAACACAAAGTTAGAGAGTATTTTTTATCACTTTGTGTACGATATATTGCAGTTGATAGACAGCTTCCAGGTTAAAAACATATCTATTTAAGTGAAAGTTTTCTTTGTGAAAAAGTTCGGTAAACGAATCAATAAGGAACAAAGCGTTGGATAGCTACATGTAGCAATGATGGTTATTAAACTTACATCTTGGGCTGTGAGGTTATATGCAAGGAAGTTGTGTTGCTGAGCCTGGTACAGTAAACTGTTCAACATGAAATCGGACACCCAAACATACATCATCCGGCTCGTATCGTTCCATGGCGGAAGGGGTGGCGCCTGGAAAGGGGGCGGGGCAGGCGAAGACTTCCAGTCCATCTCACCCTAAATGCACATGTTACATTTGTAAACAAATCACACCAAATGAATTTACTATACAATTTAATATCGCAACAGTTCTTAATTATATCACATCATATTAAATTTCGAATTATATGGAGGCTGCTTTTAGTTTGAATCTGTGTATAGAAATTTAGAACCGCCGTCACGTGAAAAAATGAAATAAGAATAATAATTATAATGCAAAATGTTCTACGATATTCCCGTTCTTTTCTTGCTGCATCTTGTTGCTTTACCTTATGGTAGGATTCCATGAAATCCTTCTGATAAAGAGGCGGTTCATCCATACGGTAGTCCAGCAAAAATGTATTCGCAATATCAACAGTAACTGTGAAATGATTACAAAATATACCTATATATTTCAATATACTTAGTTGATCCTTCTTTCATTTTGATTCATTTACAGCGAAGCTAGCTTACATGTAAGACTTTGTTTGGATAAAAGAAGCATGGATACAGATGTTTTAAATTCTTTAAAAAAAAACAAATCACCAAAAAAGTACACACATGTTTGGACATGTTGTATTCACTTTCTGCAGATAATCACTTTAAATGGAACCATATACTGTTTATAGTTTAGTAATAACAACAAAAACACCAATATATCTGTTCTTGTAGTGGTAGTAGTCTTTTTGATAAATTAAACGTTCATACATATTGTGTTTTGTGAGGCTTTCCTAATAGCTTATACTGTTTTATGAATTGTATTTTGTGGTATGCTTTGTTTGTAGCGTATATTTTATATGAATTGATGTTTGATGTTTGATTTGTTGATATATGTAGCTTATACGTATATATATATATATACATAATATTTTGTTTATAACCTATATATTATTATGCTTCAAATGCATAAGAATTGGAATGTGGAGCATGTGCTGATAGTTAATTGTTTTGTTTATTTGAATGCAGTTTAAAATTACCTATTGACCACGAGTTAAAAGATTTTTCTATCAATTTTTAGAACAACTTTCAACAGATGTGTCAAAGTACCTAATTAATGTTCTTACGAAAGCAGAAACTACTTGGCTAGATAAAAAAAAATACATGTTGCAATGTATGCGTGTACTGGTAACATATTGACATACAGACTCATTGACCCATTCTGTATTAAGTAGTGTAGGTATTATCACGTATGCTATGTTATATAAAGTCATAGATATGAACCTCACTATAATATTGAGAAAGCTGCATGTATATGTGCGTACCTGGTAGCTTTGCCAGTGCATTCTCTCCGTTTGTGTTGATCAGATCCGTCACCACGCCACATACCTGTAAAATAATAATTCAATTTTTGAAACTACCGTTATGAAACTAGTTTTTCCCAGCTTATCTTAATCACTCGTTTTGGTCTACATGGAACCGCGGGGAGGGTCCTAGTGTAGTAGGAAACCGGAGTACCCGAAGAAAACCTAAGTAGTCGGGCAAATGACTCAATACCCTTTCACGTCCGACTGAGGAATCGAATCCCGGTGAGGGCACTTTGCTATTTTCCACCACATACATTTACACCAACAAACTGACTGTATGATATGTTTAGTGTTCTTCCGGTGTCAATTATATTAGTATGCAAATCTGTATGTAAATATATGTCATTAATATGAATGAAACGGGGCATTTTGTCACCTCGAAGAAACCTTTGACGCCGGAAAGGTCAAAATGACCGAAATGGCTATCGGTTAACACAAAAAGTGATTGAGCGAGGAAGACATTGTCATGAGTATATTTGTTGTGTTAATGATGCTTTACCAGCTTTTCTCTGTGTAAAACAATCATGAGGGAAGTTCGTGTGCGGTGTATAATAAAACTTGTAACATACACAATGTATGACTACTTTCAATAGTTGCATTTCACCATTCATGTTACATGCTATTGGTTTCGTGAGAGGAGAATAATATTTTAACTGGTTTATGCCTACCTGGCCTATGAGGGCAGACTTGATTGCGTCTGAGACTTCACTGCTGAAAAGGTTGTAGAGCCATGAGGCTCCCCCGTGAAAAGTCAGGCTCACGCTGCCTATGTTGACGCCACATCCGGAGGCACTAATGTGAGGGCGTCCATTAGCATCCTTGCCTATTGAATATCAAGTTAAGGTTTCACAAGATTGCATATGTGTTTAAAACCCTTACAACTCTATTAAATAGAATTCCAATCTGACTGTGTCTACCTTCAAACATAATCATTATATCGTAAACTAAATATGTATATTTTATTTGTTAATATTTTAATTGCGGTGATGTATTTTTTTCTCTCAATTTTTTTATTTTTTTCCATGCAAAAATTATTCATAAAAGATTTAAAGTGAATGAGTCTCGTTGCCAATTATTGCAAAACTTAATGATGCATATAATAAGTGATTAATAGCAGGTGCATTTGGTGGTAACATTGACACGTGTAGTAACTTAGTATGAATATGAAAAATATTTGTAAAAGTTAACAGTAAAATTCCAACTATTCCAAAAACATTTCTCACCAATGGCGACATTTTCATGAAACGCCAGTCCGCTCACACTCGCGTAGAATGTTCCACTGTCAGATATGAATCTACAACAGCAAGACGTTAAAAGTTAAAATACTACATATTGCGCTATTTATTGTAGGTGATTTTAACACGCGTTTCACGCCATGTTTAACGCGAAAATGAATTTGACTCTAAAATATACTTGACTCGGAAAATACAAAAAAAACAACAACACAGTATCCTAAATGCATTATATAAATGTTAAGGGAATACCTATATACTTTTATTACTTACAGTGTTTTATATGCCCAATTGCCGTGCAACTGCATTGCTGCATTGTTCCCAGCCCAGAATAGTCCATTCGGTGGTTTTAGGGTTATCTGACTGGCCGGCTTGTAAAATTCAGTGACATGGAGTCTGCAACAAACATAGCAAAAGACATGACACCCCTTCAACACTAGTTACAAAATATAAGCTATTACTGTACACATTTTATGTTAATGAGATTAGTTCAAAAGGGGCGCAATGTTTTACATATTTTGCAATTCACTCAAATGTTTTATTGGTATAAGAACCTATACTTTTATTGATAGCTTCTTGAGTGTGAAATGAATTGTGGCTCGGTATTACTACTAGTTTATTCATAGTAAGTTTAGCGTACGCTTTATTATAAACGAAGTGTAGATCAGGACTCTTAATAAAAGGATACTTGCCACATCACAAAGTGATTTGCATTTACAGTTGTATTGCAATTTCATTTTTATGACTTGTTAATTGAATGAACATTTAAGGCTTTAACATTTGTTGATACGGCGGCTGGGGCCCTGCTGATAGTTACACATAAATCTACCTTTCTACAATCAAGCCACAAGGCAATGGGCACCAGTTTGATGCAATTGATACGTCTAGAAAACCATACTGACATGTACATAGGTTAAAGTACAACCGAGACACACAAAAGACTGCTGGCTGTTTTAAACCCATCAAGTCATTGCATGTACATATCTAAGTCAAGTAACACTTCACTACGTGATCCGACACGCATAAGAAAACCTGCTTTATACGTACACACGTGATGGGGTGATGCGACACATATACAACCGCCTGTTTCATAATCAGTGATACGATGGCCGACAAGAGCCTGACAAAAAAATATGAATTTTCATATCTTTTTGTACCACGGTAAACTTTTATATGGTACACAACGAAAAGATATCAGTTCACATCGTACAGTGAAGTGATGGCGATGAAACATATCAAAGTTACTTTGTGTGTGGGGGGGGGGGTTGCAGAAAAGAAAGAGACGATAGAAAGAGAAAAGAGAAAAAAAGTTCCCATATTCTGCGAGGGTCCCCCCAGAAGTCGCCTTTTATGATAGCTTGCAGTTGGATAAACAGATAACAAATAGCTATTTGTTTGTGAATGTATAATGTAAATAATAACTGGAACTACGATATAAACAACTACTTTTGATATATTTAGTAAGTCGACGCGGCAACACAAGTGAACATGTTTACCGCACCATATATTTGGCATTTTTTTTTTATTTATGACTCACCAATGTTAATAGAGAACAAACATTGAAAATCGATATCTTAATTGTACCGACTTAATTAAATGATATACGGCAGTCCGCTACCTAAACATTGATATGATACATGTAAGACGTATTTAGCTGCCCTCAAATGTAACAGGATTATGAGCCATACTTAAAAAGTCGTAATTGTATAAGGGGATTAAATACGTATTTAACATCATGTTATCTACCGACGGACACGCTAAGAAGATAAATATGACATCCTGCTATTTATTCTCTGTTGGGAAATGGTTATTATCATAATTAGGACGGCATTCTTCTCTTCTATCTACCCGCTGATGTGTTTGGGTGATGGGGATTATCTATAAGCAGTTCTGATGGAAGTAGAATTTTGGGACATACATATAATAAGACGTGCTGCTTCCTCCCATCTAATGCGATAATATATACATTTAGTTTGAATCTACCCTTTGTTATTAAAAAAAGATGAAAAATATATATGACATTCTTCTACAACGTAACTATCATCTGCAGTCATAGACTAATGAGACACAAAAAAAGTCCATTTTACTACAATCTGATGTGTAAGGGTGACCGAACATACATATTACATCTACCTTTCTTCCCTTGTACCTTTTAGGGAATTTGTTCATATATAAAAGGTGAGATAGGTTGGGTGAATGTATTACTATATTTTATATCATACCTGTTTTACTAATATTTTATATACTTTATGCTTTTATGTCAAGTTACTGTATATTCTTTTTTACATGTATTAACGTTATTTGATATATGACACCAAAATAAACAATATTGACTTGACCTGACTTGGCTATGACGGTTTGTTAAATAAGAGTTTATTATGGTAAATTAGTGATACAAAGGACGGTTTACTATCTACTATTTTGTATGCAGCTCTGTGTATAGCCCAAGCGATGACTGTTACGTACCCTGTGAGGTGATAGGTGACAATACTTGCAGTTCCGGACTGGTCTGGAATCGACACTCCGATGATAGCCTTCGATAATATATCGAGGGCCACGCTGTTTGCTGTAACAATAAATGTAAACCTTGACCTTTCCAGGTAATAGTACATCGCCCGATCGACAACTAATGGCCAGGAGAAACAGGTTATCACTTGGGATTACGTCTATTGACTTAGGTGATTATCTCCTCTTATATCAAACGTCAAAACATTGTTCTGGATGTTGCTTTATCAGTATATTGGGTAGGCAAAGTGCATATTTAATATCAAATTATATCAGTAATATAAAATGAACTAATTTGTTAAGTTAAATAAAATAGCCTTGTGGAAATAGCAGAAAGCTGTTCAAGAGGAGAACAAATAAGGCCATATATAGTAACTTCTTTAGTAGAGTTCTAGAGGTGTGGAACAGTCTACCCGATAATGTTGTCAATTCTCCATCTGTGGACACTTTTAAGAACAGACTGAATAAATTCTGGTCGGATCACCCAACAAAAATCTGTGTTATCTCTGTGGGAAAACCTGTTTAAAATTTCAAGATACCTCGATTTAATAATCTATTCTTTACATTGTAGTGGAACTTGAAATTTATTGATGATTTATTTTTCAGTGCATTATTACTTCCCAATTCATGTTTGTTATTTCAAACATAACTTCAGCATATTTGTTTTGTAGCTTTGTTAATTGTTTTTATTACTTCACCTGTTATACTAAGTATTAAATGTTACTTTGATGTTGTTTTGTTTCTAACTTGATATATATATATATTAAAAGTATATTATCTATCTATTTCTGAAATAGCATTATTACTTTTTACGCAAATTAATGTTTGTGTGTAACTATTATAGTTAAGAAACATCCCTTTCTATGTTTACGTAGAAAGATCGTTACTTATTATATAAAAAAATGAAACAAAATTAATTGCTGTTTATTTATTTTTTATTTATTTTTATCTAAGTGTATGTTGTTTATTTTTATACATTCGATTACTTTTAATTTTTTGTACGTATGCATGTCTGTACTTGTGATATAAATATATATAAAGCACTATTTGTTGCGGTGTTTACGATAATAATCATGTTTATTGCATTATCCATTTCATGAATACATCCAAAACATATATATTGTTGTTGTGTATATCCAATTATATAGCGTTATTTGTTGCTGTTATATTACATATTTATGTACTTGTTTTGTATGTAAATCGATTTTCAAGTTTCTGTCTGTAACTTACTCTGATATGAATTATTCTACATAAATTCTCGTTTGTCATAGATCTATACATATGTAGTATGGTAATGAATGCGTTGACTTAATAAATAAGTCAAAACTATATGTGTGTTCCTCCTCTAGCTGGTTCTACAAATCGTTCGATATTCAAGCACAGTGAACAATAAAGGCTCCATTTTGTACTTGATATAATCGATATATAATTATATATATGCATGACCGCAGCTAGATTTTCAACATCCGTCCGTTTATAACTGCACGCGTGTAACATAAAACCATTATTACTGTACGTGTTGTTTACATTTACATTGAATACGCTCAAAGTATATGTGTTATTTATGTCAATGTATGTCGTTCACGGTGTAAACACTGTCTTATTAACACACGTTCTATGCACTATACTTACTATGTAAGTACTTATATGTTGTTATTGTCACTGCTTACCGTAGGTGAGTCCCTCAGAAGTGATCCTTGTCTTGAATCCCGGACTGACCGATGCTGTGCAGAGATGACAAATGACCACCAAGAGAAATACTGAACGTGCTCTACCCGCCATGGTGTGGTCAATCGTCAAACGTCCCGGCCAGCGATACATATTACATTGACTTAATTTCAGCTACGTATGTATATGTGTATAGTATACACACAGCTGTATTCGCTATAAATAGAACTGTACTAGTATCTGTACTCAAACTAGTTCCGCTCTAGTAACCTAGCAGGCAAAGGGATTTGAATACGCTTTTCTCACGCGTCATGGACACGGATGTCAAAACGAGGTTGAAGGCGCACAGGCAGCGCCACCTAGGAATTGTACAACATGGCAGCGAAGCACTGTTGTGTGCCTTTTTGTTACAGCGACAGCAGACATATAGGAAGGAAAATATCGTTCCATGTTTTTCCTAAAGAGGAGTCAGTCCGGAAGATGTGGTTAGTCCGCATCAGACGAGACGAGGGCTCGCTGTTCAAGGTATTTGTATTGAATATACAGGAATGCACCCCCCCCCCNACAGGGACGCGACCTCTAGCCCAGTTATCAAATCAAAATAAGCCTAATTATGTTGACACATAAGCAACAAGACATTTTATTTATCTATCCTTAAAACCAACAATATTCCTAATTGGTAAAGATACTTCTTTGAGAATACATTGTAATCAAGCTAGACTGCAATAAGTTACACAACAAACAGAACAAAGTCTCCCCATTCTCAGGGGGAATAACTCTTACAGGTAAATCATAAGCCGAGACGTGCAGTTCGCTTACCGTTCAATTACAAAAACATGTATACATATATTTGTACAATATAGATTTGCAATCACAACACAGAAGGATGCTTCTATTATAAATTATAGAAAAGCATGTCTCACAGGTATATTCAATCATATATGTATAGTTAAATGTGGTTCAAAATCATTTGAAAACTGGTATAATGTACATGTACAGTGGAATCTAAATGTAAAGCTCATCGTTTTATTTTTCACCATGTTTGCCAACATATTTTAATTTCCTTTTATTCATCTTTAAAATTCCTTTATACATTTCCATCAATTCATCGCCAAACGCCTTTATAGTGCCAACTGTATCCGGACAAATGGTGGCAGTATATATAATTGTAACAGGAGAGGAAAAATGAAGGGCCAAACCGGGGTTCGAACCCGGGACCTTCCTAACTCTAGACGGACGCTCAACTAATTGAGCTATCTGGTCGCAGACGATCGACCCAGTCCAGTTTCGCTACATTCTCCCTCCTTTAACAAAGTCTTCGACCCCAAAGACACACGAGACCCTATACCACCTCCTGTGGGTATATTTCGTTGGCCGCCAAATGTAACAGGAGAGGAAAAAGACACGGCCAGACCGGGGTTCGAACCCGGGACCCTCCGAGCTCTAGACGGATGCTCTACCAATTGAGCTATCTGGTCGCCGACGATCGACCCAGTTCAGTTCCGCTACTTAATAATATAATAAAGAGGTTTTACTGTTCACTTTTTATCATAATGCACCAATGCACGGCGCATGTTTACAGGCAGATACAGGAGACAATGATCAGAAAGCAATATCAAATCATTCCTTACTCCAATTAAAGTGTTGATGTCAATAAACTTATGTTTTGCAAACTTTAATATTGATTTTACTTTTAATCGGAAAATTGTATTACATAACAAGTTCGTTATTTAAAAACAAAACAGTGTATAGATCCCAGTCCAACTTCAATGCAGTTTTGCCTATATACAGTAATCTATCGATTAACAAAGGATGAGTGTCTATAATGCCCATTTTTGGGCCCCGTTATATTCGGATTTTCACCTCCTGGCATGTACAATCTTGTCAGTGTATGGTATTGATTTTGTAATTAAATTAATGTAAAACAAAGGAAATATGTTTATTTCATATTACAAGGAAAAAGGTCAAATGTAAATTTCGACGGTATAATATTATACGTATTTCGTGTGATATTTTTCTTATCAAAGTTGTTTGGGGTCACGGTGGCAGAATGGTTGAAGAATCCGACCGTCTACGATAAATAACACTCCAGTAACCGGTCACGGGTTCGAGACCTACGTGGGACTGGCCGTAGGTCGGTGTTTTTTCTCCGGGAACTCAGGCTTTCCTCCGTCACAAAACCTGTCACGTCCTTAAATGACCATAACTGTTAATAGGACGTAAAACACAAACAAACCAAATTTAATATGTATAAGGTCCCATGAATAGATTCACAAGAGCTTAATTTAAGTCGGAGCTATTTGTACTTGACAAACCAACATTATGTTCGTTTTCAAATACTCAAATGAAGGGATTTGCAAATACTAAGATCAAATGGAGAAGTGTGTCAGTGTATAGTATCTTTTTTGAAAGATATTACAATATCATAAACGTTTCTTTTATTTGTTTTTCTATTTCTATTTCAAGAAATGTAAGGTTATTCTCACGTTAGTCTCTGCTTTGGTTTAACTTAGTTTGAGTTAGTTGTATTTGACTAACCATAGGTAATTCCTTTAAGTTTTAAATTACTGTAAACTGGGAAATTTTCACCGCAAATTGATTTTCGCCGTTTTCCCCCTTCGCAATGAGGACGATTGTATCATAACCGCGTAAAATAGTAAACGGCAAACTTTTATAGTAATAACATTTAAAGGGCGAAAATTATCTTTTGCGAACACGGATGTAATATGTGAAGGGAGAATATTTGAATAAAGTTTTCCGATATACAGCAATAGTGTATATACATTTTTGTAGATTTAACAGATCCGTAAAGCCATATTTCATAAAATCTGCACATAACGCATAAAATTGAGCTTTCGTTCAGTTGCATCATAACTTGAGTATTGCAAAGCATTATTCTTTTTCAAAAACATTTGATATTTTTGTCGATAGTTTAAACAACACTCACATAATATAATATGACTCATCAGACTGCTGAAAATGATTACCCATCCCCGACCAGCATCAGAGGAGGATAACTTATTACTGTCTGCGGTATCTGCATGTGAAGTTACATCTAAACATGCATTATTGACGTTAACAACGGTGTGGTAGCATTCTCAGGTGTTAGCGTTGCTCTGTGATTCGACAGATCATTTCCGCACTTGTCGTCTTTTCATTTCAACAAATTTTATTGTTTAGAAAACAAATGGATTGCACAACAGGCAAGACTATATGAGTCCTCTCCAATAGGTACCACCTATATACAAGTCAATGTGAATAAAGTAAGTAATAGATATCATAGATAGTAATGTATATATATAAAGAGAAATAGATTTTAACATGCAAGCATTGATGGTAGTATTACACAATATTCAGAGAGTAGAATGATAACATCGGGTAATGTATAATGATTAAATATGTAAACATCTACTCAAGCTTATACATACTTGCATACCCACATGCCTACATGTCACACACACCCTCACACACCCTCACACATACAACACATCTATAAAAGATGTGTACTCAGCCTAAGTAAGTAAGTAATATACATTATTACAAAATTACTACATATGTATGTCATAGTGATATATATGATATCCAGACTGTACAATAATAGAGGTCTTCAGTGAATTTCACTCACTCAATTATTATATTATAATCTCTTAAAACGTTCAGTACCATTTATATAGTATTGGACATTAGTTAAAATAAGTTAATTAATATCCTCCGACAGTGTATTATCACCTGAAGTTAACAGAGACCAATACGGTCATGAATTTCATGAATTAAATACTTAGAATTAGAGTAATTAGGACAAGTAATAAAAACAATGATCAGTATTTTCAGCAGGTGAACCACATGCACAAACTTGTCTTCCGATCCTCTTACGCCATTAAGGATTGTTTGTGAAACGCATAGTAAAAGCACCGCTAAAAAGTCAAATGGAATTAGACAAAAAGATTTATAAACCACTCATATAAAACATAACACAGATTATAATACATTCATGATGCAGGCATCCGTTAATGTTTTACTGCTATTTTGTTTACGATTACTTGCTAAGGTTATGTACCCTTGCTTACTAAATCTTTATGTCAGAGATATATCGAATGGTAAATGTTAATACTTGGTTTTGATATACTCTATATAAAACCTCAATCAAAAAAACAACTTTGGTACCCTTGTGCATGTTATAGGAAAGCATAACCTTTTATATACCACTGCATGTCGTAAAAATGAGCAAATGTGGGACCCTCTGCGAAATAAGGGTTTTGTTTACTCTGTCTGCTAAGAGGACATCGAAGAAACCGACATTGATTTGCTTCCTCAATTGCAACACTGCCTTTTCTGTTTTATTCCCCTTTCCTTTCGAAGTCAGAAACGTCATTGAGAGAACACAAATGATATCGGCATTCCTAAGGGTGTTAAAGAATAAATGATATTTGCTATATACTACTCTACCTAGGTTTGACATTGATGCTACATCATGAGTTATTCATATCAACACTGTTCGATATATAGAAGTTTATTTATTTCTTTGCTTAATGTTCAGCATTAAGGGGAACGGCAACAATTGGTTCACCCATTGTCAGAATAATGTGAACGGGCAGATTGCTATGCTGGGTGCCTTCGGCAGGGTATTTCAATTAATTGATTAATGGGAGATTTGCCGATCATTTTGAACCAGTATATCTCTAAGTAAACTTTTTAAGATGAGACAGCGTCCTTCTTCCTTGACACACCCACTTTTCATGCCTTTTCTGAATTGTGTTTGTGTGTTATACTAATTCGCCTTTACTTCCTGTATTAATAAATACACTTATAAGTGTATAAGAACCCGGAAGCATTACCTGTGGTCTGAGGTGATGCGAGTAATCGGGACGTTTAATATAGCATTACCATTATTATTTTGTTAAACGACTATCGTCTACTCTATATAAACTAAAACAAATAATGAGAAACTTCCTGGATAATACTATCTTACCTGTTATTTAATTTCCTGGTAGATGTACATTTTTAGTACGATAGAGCGCCATCTATTTTTTAGTGTGCCCCTGCTTTTGGAGCATCTTGTAAACAGAAAATATCGCATTACACATCATATTTTGTAATCAGATGGCTGCAAAGACTTGTAGTCGTAGACAGAAGGACTGAACTAATAAAATCCGGATAAAAACAAACAAAATTGCAGTTTTTAAGGAATTCTGGGTAAAAAAGGTGACTGACTCCTCCACTTCGAGCTAAAACGTATGATGTATGAATACAAAAAGTTACGCAATTGACATTCACTATTTTTCCGGAGTTATGTATGACATACACAGTGTTCTGACATGATGTCAGATGTTTTATAACATACCTGTTGAATCTTGTGATAGTAATACAAGCAATTTTGAATATATTCGTCCGCGCAATAAACTCGTGTTTTCTGATTCGTTAGAAAAACACAAGTGTGTGGTCTTGCATATTTGTATACTGGGTCAGCGTCTCAGATATCAGGACTACGCAAGGCCCATACTTCATGAACCCCTGCACACATTTTGTTCATATTTACAATAAAAAATATCACACTGATGACCAATTTGCCTGGCACCTAATATTGCGGTGACATTTGATGACCTATGCATTAACCGTCTGTTAAACTAACATTGTTAGGACATATACATACAAATAAATATATGCCATATCGATTCATATCGATTTTACATGTGAGATTTGGTAACCTATATTTTGACTTTTGGTTTGGTTTTTACATTGCAAATGAAAAGCAGTTCGTAAAGATTCGAATCCATTTGCCGTAAATTACCTGAAACATCGTGCTACGAGGTCATTAGCTTCTTGTTATGCATTGTCATAGTTGTGTATTTGATAGAATAACACTAACCAAGACACCATTGTATATGCAAATGCTAGTTTGTCTTTGATAGATAGTCTTGTAACGGTTTAGTAAATGAATGACTTACCTTTTTATCACGACAAAAAACGAGGAGGTTGTAACAAGTATTGTCAATTCGGCCACTTAACCCTGTTCCCTTCAACCCTAAGCGTAATGAGGCGTAAGAAAGCGGCATCATATAAACTAGGCCACCTCTTCATTTTGAAAACATATGTATGTATCACGAGATGTAGCTAAAAACAAACCTGTATGGATGCATTGGAGCGAGGAAATGTTGCAGTAGGCATGACTGGGTCATTTCGCCAAAAATTAGAGAAATGAGACAACCAATTAAAATCATGTTGTCATGAATATTAAAATTGTTTGTAATTAGTATTATTCCTATCGAATCAGAGGTGCAATCTTAAAATGGTACTTGATATATAGCATTATGTAGGTTGGTTGTACATGCCTTAAGTATATATGGGTACTCCAGATTGAAACGGGGTTTATATCCTTGGTGCGTATACTTACAGTGCACATAACTCTTATATAAAGACAATGTATACCTTCTATAGACAAGGTGTACATACCTTTACACAGATGTATATAACTTATATACAAAGTGCGTATACTTTATGAACAAGTGAATATATTTCATATACTTGATTGGTATGCATATCTTATATGCGGTACTTTTAAACCGTATTAAAAGAAGGACTTCAATAAGGGAATGTTTACCTTATATACAAGGTGCGTATATTTAATGAAGAAGTGAATATAATTGGTATGCATATCTTATATACAGCGTTTGTAAACCTTATTTGTTTAAATTATATACAAGGTGCGTATACTTTATGAACAAGTGAATATGTCTTATATACATGATTGGTATGCATATTCTATATACAGTACTTTTAAACTTTATAAAAAAACTATCGATAGGAGGATGAAATATCGGTCGTGAAATATGCATGACATTTAAAATGAAACTATTAAATATATTATGTTTACCTTATATACAATATTTGTGGGCAAATAAGTAATAACGACAGAGCAGACAAGGGCTTTGTCAAATTTTCACGGCTGAAACATGAACACTTACATATCACGACATTTGAAAAAAAGGTGAATAGAAACAAAACGACAACATAAAATACAAATCCAAAAAACACAGTAACTACTGTTCAGATCTAGTGCCAATATCGGACCACACTATCGTTATAAATTATGAAAACTTTATATACAGGATGTGTTTAAACCTTATATCACAGAGTGTCCATTCATGTTCGTTATAAACAGGTTGTGTTCCGTTTATACTGGTTATACGGGAAGTGTTCACCTGATGTATACCTTTAATACATGGTGTGCATTCTCTATGTAAGTTTGATTATTCTTTATGTGAAGTGTATGCACACATATACCTAATACATATGGTTTGAAATCGTGTTAATATTTAAAGGGTTTGTATACCTTTTGCTAGAGAGTTTATCTTTAGATGGTTCAGAACACATGTACTGAGCAAGAATAACCGTACCGAGTCTTACACAGGTAAAACCAAAGTGGGCTATCTGAATTTTCAAAAGTTTGGTAATGAACAAATAAATTCATCAAGACACTATATATAGTTGAACTAATATTAAGCTGAGAAATGCATTAACTAATATTACACTTCACCGCATCTGTGTTTTGTGTAAGTCTCATATCTTTGTCATTACACTTATTCGCCTTAAGTGTAGATATCATGTTCATTTTACCCTTTTAAAAATACGTTACTGTCATTGAGATAACTTATTGACAGTCATACCGTCCCCGCAATGAACATTAGCTGACGTAAGTGCAAACACCTACAATATAGTTATATTGAGGACGGACATGTTATGTACAGCTAAACTCTGAGTACACAAAGAAAAACCCGCCATGCTATCGGATTTAGAAAACGTGCAACTATGCAGTCATACAGATCGCCTGACCTTGGACCATCTAAACGCTGATAGTGGGTTAGCTTTACAAACATGACTGAACAGGAAGGTATGTGATAACATTAACAACACATTGGTCCATTTTTAACGTCAATATAAGCGATTTTTTTTATCTTTATTTATTTTGTCACTGTAGATCATTTCTAAGTACAAATAAGCTTGGAATCAACAACAGCATACACACGTAACAAACGTTTTATTAGCAGTAAACAACTATTTCTCATGCAGTTTTGCTTTTCATTGCATACCTGGTATATCATACAAATACCACGAAGTAATATTTCCTTCTCTACACACTGTAGTTATGTAAGGTGCCGTATTTCCCCAGTACGCATAACTGCTTTAGACTGGAACTTATTGCTTTCTTCTACTGATCAAGTCGACAAAATGAAACACATAAGGGTTCCGAATATTTTACTGCCACTTGATGCTATGGTAACGTGACGTCATGAACATTTTATCTGGCATTGTTGTTCGGTCGAGTTTTCAGGAAGCAAAATGAATACGTATTTGTGGTTTTAGCTATATTTTTGAACACCTACTTCCTCAACATTTGATATTAAATAAATTGTTTTACTGACTCAATTTAAATGACCATAAGAAAGTTCTAATCATAAATGTTAAATTGTGCAGTCTAATTCTAGGTCTATAACATTATAAAAATACATTCAAACAAATCAATTCGTGACAACCCTTCACCTATCTTAGTATTTGCATAACATTATTCGTCATATACCTGGTACATTTGAATCGTCTTATCAGTCTTTAAAATGTTTTATGTGAGAATGTGAAATAGATATTTAACTTACCTGTCCAGTGTATTTATTTATATGCATTACATTGTATTTTGAACAGAGTCAAGGACAATATGCTTTTACACAATCTGTGTATTCCTGAAGTATAGGAGATTACACTGATCGCTCAAGCATTCTATTGTCACATGTCCAATTCAACCTATGTAAGTAGTACATGAAGATGAAAGGATAGTACTTTGCTAGCTACAAAGGGACATTAATTTACTTTTAATAATTAATAAAGGGTAGTTTTCTTGACTAATTTGAGTTACATTTTGCAGCATTCAACTCATATATTCAAGTGATTTGATTTTTTAGTTTCCGCCTGCAGAAATGTTAACAAGGAGAGCGCAAGCACCATAAACTAGTTCATTTGTAATCGTCCTAGTCGGGAAATCCCGACTACAAACTGAGAGTATCTTATCAGGAATTTCTGCAAGTGCATTGCATAGTCCGTTTGATTGCCACCATTCGAGGGGTGTCTTCTACGAAGGGGCATTGAAGAACTCATATTTGATCTGATGCGAGTACAAGTAAGAATAGCAAAATCAGTCTTTTGCACAGAATTGTTGTAATTGCTTAGTAGATGGAATGTTTGTATATCATTGGAAAGAGAAAATAACCTGCACAAGTTCTCGAAAAACTTTATAAATCAGATAAGGACAATTAAAAACAATAATCTTTTTCGACTTACTTATAGGACGTTAGTTATTAACAAATTAAAGTTTTATTAATATGTATAGAATGTACAACTGCAAAAGCATATCAGAAACATATACAAAGAAACATTAAACTAAAAATGGAAGATTAAACTACCCATCATTTTGTACATGTGATTCATAATCAATATCATTCTGTATCATCTAAGCTATATATCTGCGATTCAAATTGATGCTGAGGCACAAAAACGCGATAGTGTAGAGGAGAAATAGAATAATTTCAAAATAAAACTTTACCAAAATCACTACGAAGTGCTTACGAAATAAAATTACAAAATAACGTATAACTATTTATATATACAATATTTACTATAATAAAGATAAGAAAGAAAACTAAATACAAAAACAAATGTTATTACTTTTGTTTGGAAAAAAATATGCTCTTTGTGAGCACTAAATTGTTAGTTCAGACGTACGTTCTTCTTAAATAATATTTCTTGTATGTCTGTGAAAATTGTCGATCTTGATCCATCATATTTACAGTTGTTTTCCTTCTGAGACAGTTTCTGAATTCATGGTTGGGTATGTCCCTCGTGACTTGGTATAATCATATCATAGATTCAGGATTAATCTTCTGTGTGGTACACCAGGTCAGTAGCAATGACGAAAGCATCCTTGAATACAAACAACACATCGTGAAGGGACGGAAACGTAGGATACAAATGATTACGACACTGACATATGTATCTCGAACTCTAATTGGAACAATAACAAATATAAAGGTATCCTTCGTATCCCCTCAGTAACCCCTACACCACCGTCCACCCCTTACCATCCCGACTTTATTAAATCAGTACCATCCAAGAACTTCAGGAACTGATACAGTGTATACAATTTGAGCTCAATTATCCAAGGGTACTCTATTAAGTTTGATTATATTTGGAGCAAAGATAAATAAATTGTCGCATCTATTTGGCTATCATCATCATCATTTTCATCATCATCATCATCATCAACATCATCATCATCATAGCATCATAATCATCAACAACAATTACAACGATAATAAATCTAAATGCGATCTGTCAAATAAACCTTTCCATACATTTAATGTCATTTGAAAACAAAAGCAGCACAGCTAGACGTTCATCTAATTGGAATATCGAGCTCGTTGGAAATTTATCACAGATTCAACAAATATGTCATCGATGATCCAACAAAAAGTGATAACACTGACAACATCATCCTACGTGTTTATTTTCTAGCTTACATTATGATGAGAGAACATGAAAACCTTTCCTGCATTTGACTCTATTTTAGATTTTGTGACCTATGCATGTAAGCGGTTTATTCCATATAGGTTTGATTTTATGTCATACACTGTACAAGCCATCACTTACCTTCAGCAGCACTAGTTTGGCATTTTTCAACGACATCTTTCCGAGTGGTAAACGGATTCCCTTCTTGCCAAGAACTGATTAAATAGAAACAAAACAAAAATCGGACAATGATTATTGTTCATCCCCACATTATCGGATAAAACGTATTTCAATTTCAATTTGTTTAATCTGTAAGTCTTAAGGCTTTTAATTTAAATATGCATGCATATTTGTTTTATTTGTTGATAAAAAGAACATATAAAAACAATTGAAAATATTCTGAATATCACTATAATTTCATAGGGCGCATATACTACTATATCTTCCAATTTCAAGATACCTTCGACTTTCTTTATGAAGCTAATGTAATGACAACAATATCCTTGAGACATTATTTAGGAGACATAACTTATCGTGTGATAAAATTAAAAGATTCAATGCAAAAAATACTACTTGTAATTATTTATTATTTAATCATTCTTTAACAATTGTGGGTACATATTTTGTTATTATATGGACTAACCCTATACAAATAAATGAATATGACATCTTATTTTTAGATTACACGGGATAACGCTTTATATATATAAAATGTTTGACATAGTTGGGGATAACATGGAGTAAGCCTATAGAAATAGATAAATGTGACAAATTTTTGGGCTTATACTGAATAATGCTATCAAAAAAGATAAATATGATAAACAATCTAAAATGGTTGTTACCACTATAGAAACGTGTTTAAGAGGTCAACATACAATCAATACTCGGCTGGATGAACCTTTCTACTGCATTCTTGATCAGAAAGTTAAGTGCTCGTTCCTGTTCAAAAATGAAAAAGAGTATGTCATTAAACGTTACAGAGTATACAGAGTAAAAAGACATTATAATGTTTCACACGAAAACTAGGATTTGAAATGACACAACAGATAGTTTAAGATTTGATCTTTTTAAATAGTTGAACTCAGTACAATGTATTTCGTAGTGTACTTACAGTGACATTCGGGATAGTTGAATTTTGCAGGGAAGCAGTGATACTGAAACAAATGTCAATCATGTGTTAAATCTAGCTTGGTCGAAAAAGCCACTAAACTTGATCTCATTATGAATAAATTACACTTAATTGAAATAAAAGTATTCAACAACGAAACGTCCCTTGCCTGGTATTTAACGTGATAAACAGATATTGCTGACCTTCTTGTTTAACTGAGAAATGTCGTAAACAAGGTGTATGGTGCATGGTATTGCGACACATGTTGCAGCTTAAACAGTAGGTCAGCAACGTTTATGCACTTGACAACTTATTGTTTCATTTTTCATATGAAAATGCAATTACGATTGAAACGTTTCTCTAAAGTTCAAAGTTTCCAACTGCTAATTGCAAGATAATAAATGATATTTGAAATTGAGAGAATAATGATCTAAAATAAGAGTCGACTTTTTTTCGAGTGCGTCATCACGCAGTCTACGTATTAGTAGTAAGTTTTTGTATCCATACACTGTAAAAACTTCTGCAGTTATACTCTTTCAAATGATTAAGAAAGATGTTGCCACACAAAAAGAAAATATAAAATAATATATATATAATTCTAATGAAACATATGATCGTTGTTGCCATGAAAACTCACGTCATGTTGGTGACCTTGTAGTGCATCACTTTCTCAGCGACACTTATCTGTCCGGTCACTGTCATGTTCTGAAACAAAACAATAACAATGTCATCTCACTGTCATAAATTTGTCATAGAAATGACTATTGGTATTAATATAGAGTGTCTTAGTATGAAAGAAGGACATTTTGGAATGGCTGTTGTGCACATATAACGTTGTTATGATGCTATATTACATAATCTGTATTGTTCCGCTTATATTTTGATGTGTCTGTACGACGTACGTAGCTTCCTTATTTAAATTACTGAATTTCCTTATGACAGGTAAAGTGGTACATTGTATCCATTGGGGACATTTATATATCTTCTTAACCTCCGAACTTAAGGTCTCGCATGATCTTTATGAATCACGCGCTGTTCTAACGATTAAGGAAGTATAAAATATAATAACCAATAGAGCTCAAGAGGAAGTTATTTTTAAGATCACCCATACAAACATTACTCAACGGTCTAATTGTGTATGGACTATATCACCACCATAAGTGTGAACGTTATTCGTGTATTTGAAGCCCAAAAAAACCCTCTGGATGTTAACGGCGTTAATAAGGGAAAATAATCCGCTAGAATACACATGGACGCACCAATAATGGGTAATTAATCACAAACTGACACTAGTACATGTATACACCGTTTGCATAATGGTGAAACAAATTACGAAGTAAATCAGATAAAATATTGATAGTTTTAAAGGAAATATAATTGAATATGCTACATGAAATCATACATTTTCGTGACAACTTTAAAATAAATATAATTAAATATGCTAGTTACTATGAGATCATACATTTTCGTTGGACCAAAATGTCGTGCATTTCGTTGATACATAATTCATGGGTTACGAGAAAACACTCATACAGAGCTTTCATTCTTGTAATTATTTCGTGGACCTATCAAATCGTAGATGAAGGGGACCAACGAAATCAGCGAAATTAAAAACCACTCAAAAATTATTAATTTCACAGAATGACTAAGAAATCAAAACAAATAGAAATATTTGAAATTAAAATTAAGCAATGCAAATAGAAGCTTGATTGAGGTGAATTCGGTGAACAGCAATTTTAAAATGTACCAACCGCATTCATTGTAAATATGAAATCGCCGAATGTTTTGGTACTGCTTTTCAGTCTGCCCAAAACTGGGTTCTCTTTTTCCCCTGGCTTGAAATAGAGAGTGGATGAGGTCTTCATAGGTCGGACATACAAAGCTATTAATCCGGCCATCTTGGTTTCTATGGAGCCGTTGACAACAGAAATCTGCGGCATTTTCGTACTTCTCATTTGTAGTTCCAACTGGCAGCTAGGATACTTATTTAGCTTCAATACACAAACACGTATACCGTTGATAACAATGTCTTAATCATAATTAAAAGTCGTTTTGTATATTAATACACACATGCAGTATCACAATCAAGGTACTCTCACTCGAATGCGTATCCACTGAAAACATACTCAATATCCCTACTATTGGCGATATTCCGTTGAAAAACAAAGAAGATAGAAACACATTTTTTCTCTTTCTTCACGTTTGGCATATGTTTGTATTTCTTAATGTTAAAGTCAGTGACAATAGGAATAAATGAGCTTATAGTTCTTTTGATATTTCAATTAAACTTATTCGAGAAATACTTCGTCTTCCAGTATTAGCTACATACCTCAGGAATCAAGTTCCCGATACACAGTGAACTGGTACACGTCGTGTTCAAAACTCCCTGTGCGTTTTCCGGGAGCTGAAATGACAGAAATATTAGCTCTACATTTGAAAGGTGTAAATGAATTTTCCATGTATAAAAACAAATATTTTCAAATGTAGAACTTCGATTCATCGTAAACAGTACTTTAACACATAAAAGACATGGCGCACTTGTATTTTGAAACAATATGAAGGTTCAACGACAATTACAATAACATTAAGTCTTAATGAAAAAAGAGATGAATACATTGGTTAAAAGTTTTGAAATTAATATGGTAATTAGAAAAACAGATCGATCTTGTAAAAGAATGACACGGCATTCTTCATGCACTTTTTTCATTGGAAATACAATTTAATGAATATTATCTAAGGCATATAAATCGATATTGATATTAATGATTTTTTCAAAATATGGATAAATCATCTAATCATTTTATTTTAATGGTACTGAAAGCCTTAATTCGAAAGGTTTGTTCCGGTTAGCAGTATTCTTACATTTTTGTTCCAATTTAAAGTCATGTTTTGTTACGAAAAGTAAACCATTCAACATATTCAAACCAATGATGAAGGGTGGGTTTGGTCCAGTCCCAACTGTATGCGACAGTTGAGTTTTTTTCCAGGCATTTCAGTCGGTCGATTTTATTGAAATGCACATGAAGTAAAATAACAACATCGAAAGAAAATCAAGAGAGAAACATCTCAGCAATGTTGTACACAGTTTAAACCTAGAGTGGTCAGGAAGATTGCCAAACTTTCTGGAAATAGCTGGAGTATAACGAGAAAACAAATTGGAATCGCTATATGTACGAAACATTCTCAACTTGTTATTCCATGCCTCTTTAAATGTATTATCCACCATTAGGCCTAGATTACAAACATATTACGGCTTACAAACATGTGCTTTTGTGCTCATAATATGAATTTATATATAATATAAATAAGTGAAAACATGTTCGCTATTTACAATAATATAATTCTGCTTCTCATTGCCACCAGTCTTTATTTCTTCACACACATGTCAGGTCTAACGATCAAGGGTGGGGTGGATTTAGTGTACATGTTGACCGTAAGTCCCTAACCACTACTTCTCAATGTTACATACCATTTACAACACTAATATTTTTTTTTATTTTTTTTTTAAACGTACGTCCTGCGCAGTGAGATTGTAGGAGAGGAGGTTGTGTTGCTGAGCCTGGTAAAACAAACTGTTCATCATGAAATCGGACACCCACAAGTACATCATACGGCTCGTGTCTTTCCACGGGGGCAGGGATGGGGCCCGGAAAGGGGGCGGGGCAGGCGCAGACTTCCAGTCAATCTCACCCTGTAACAGTGCATTTGGATTAAGATTTTATGTATCTAAGTACACCTATACCTAAACGAGTTTTTTTTGATAATTGAAACATTAAGTTGTATATTTTGCAAGCAGTATATATACCTGTATAATAACGACAAGGAAGCACATTTTACCCGTGTTCCGTGTTAGGAAGATTCATACAACTAATAACATAATTCACTAAATGTCGAGGAAAAAACCCAAATAATTTGGTTTCATAATTACAAAAAACTAAGAAAATGATCACATTCAGTAATTGAAATTTCATGTAAATCACATGGTCTGGTGATTAAAAAGGTAATTACTAAATGATTAGGAATCAAAGCAGTTGTGAATTTAACAATACATAATGATTGATACATTTTGAGCATAAAGATATAAACATATATGTTTTGTAAGTATATGCTTGGTCGGTATTGTTATGTTATGCCAAAGATTACAAAAAAAAATATCAGCTAGAAAAACGTTTAATCTTGACATTTTATTTTGTTAATAAGGTTTATTATAAAACTACCTACAGCACCGACAAGGAAGTTATATATAACGGTACCCCTTACCTTGTGGTAGGTCTCCATATAATCAGAGGTAAATTGTGGTGGCCTTGTAAGTTTATAGCTCAGCTCCAACATTTCCCCAATACCCAAGGTAACTACACAACAGAAATGAAAACATAATGTACAATGTACCTTGAAAACAATAAATGTATAACAGGTCAGATGTGAGTTAAACGCATTGCAAATACTGTAATGTTATCCCATTAATAACAGAACTTCAAGGACAACTAACCTTTCAATAAGGACAGAGACTTCTCAGCATCTGTATTGAGAGAATGGCTAATCAGGATGCACATCTAAAAATTCCAAAAATAACTAATTAAATACCGACCTCTGCACATGTAAATAAGTGGTATACATAACAGTAATATAAATATATGCTTGGCATCCAGCCGCTACTCCTTCTCTGGCAACGTTGAAGAAGTATATGCGTCTTTCCCATCAAAGCAAAACGTGCCCTTAATTGTCTTGAAACTAGTAGGTAACAAGTCTTCCTGGTTTTTTTTGTCCCCACCTCTAAATAAAAAAAGAGGAGGATTTTCCTCTACAATTGATATGTTGCAGATGGCTCTACCAGATATACGTGTATTTTTACATTTCGACTGCAAGTTCCTCTATAAGCATTACCAGATGAAATTTCATTAATTCAGCTAGGGACGCATTTGAATCAGCGTTATTTTGAAACTTCACCTCCCGCCTGTGAGAAAACGATTATAATTAAACAGTTTGGTGACTCTTGCTGCTCCATGAATCGTGTTAACGATGACGACACACGCAATATTGCAATTGTTAGGGAATAATTAAAACATGTTTATGGATTGAACGTCATTTGTTTCAATTCCATGGCGGTATAAACGCAAATCGGTTACATTCATTCCATGAAGCCCTGCTTTAATTTTAACGTTTTTACGTGTATGTGGTGAAGAAAAAGGCCAAACTGTGCGGAAACTAACCTTTTCCTTGAGTAATCTTTGAATTTTTTTCTCGAATTGCCGTCGGAATAAATTGTATGCCCATGCCCATCTGCCATGGAACTTGATGGACACACTTCCTATATCACTTGTGCACGGTCCTGCTCTGATGCTTGGCCGCCCATTCGTGTCCATTCCATTCAGAAACAAAAAAATAAGCGCTATAAGACTGTCACTATAAGTACTGCACCACAAAGGCGTGTAAGGCATACTAACTTTGATTTTAAAGATTGAAATTTTTATTTAAGTATATAAGTCAAAGTAACTTTAGTTCCGAATATGAAAGATAACTTACCTAGATCGACTTGTACACTGAAGGAAACTCCAGACACAGATATATCAAAGCTGCCATGATCCGAAATCTTGATGCTGTGAATATATATATTAATTCGACTCTATATTGCAACTATGGCATATTTGGCTCCACAAAGCTGCATAAATAATCTATTATACGCATTGGCAGGACGTAACAAAGGTTATACCTTTGACTTCAATGGAAATGAGGTCACAATCACAGATGGAAAACATCATTACAAAGTAGTTTATTTACAATTTGGGGTTCGTTGCAATGTCGAACTTTTACAAAATGAAATAAGATACCTGTTTGATTTGTTGATATGTACGTTTGTATAAGGATACAGCTATGTCACTCACAATGATTTTATAAATTACGATAGTGATTACTTCTCTATGATATTAATTCAAATACAATAGAGTTTCCCCGTAACTTTATTATATCGTGTTTATAATTTTGCACGAATTAATTTCTATTCGTTTGAAAGTACATAATGAAGATGAAGACAAATGACAAAGTGTCCGATTTTAGATGATCCCGCACTCAAAGCAATCAAGAACGCTTACAACTGGCCTATTTTTATAAACCAACGTATCACTCACATCTTTCTGAAGGAGTATCTGAAGCGCCCGCTCATGGCGAGTCCAATGTCTGAAGCAGACCATTTCAGCCCACTACCTGCTATCGGTTTGAGCGAGCTCGAGGATGGTGGTGAAAACTCGGTTATTTCGGCACTGAAAGAGGAAGAGACACAACTCATCGTGATTAAATCAAGAGAGCAAGCTATGCTTTATACACATATTCAATACTTGTATTGTGAACTGATGAATAAAAACTGATTTTTTACCCATTTTAGTCGCGCAAAACAAAGTGTTTAATGTCTCTATCGTACGACTTCAAGTATTACGAGACTCTGTTATTTGAATATCATAACTAGTGACTAAACTTGATACATGTGAATAACAGTGCCACATACTCAGTAATGGAGTAGGAAACAGGGCCAGCCTTTCCCGGCGGGACATTGATCTTCTGACCCCTTACGCTCTTCGACAGCTGCACGATGGCTTCTTTGTTTGCTGCAATATATACGAAATTTACCTATAGTGACACACGAAAACGAAAGTAGGATTCGAGCCAACAGTACTTGGTGTTTTTTTCATTTAAGTAAACAATTCTAAAATTAAAAAATGGTCCTGAGGTTGGATAAAAATGTGGAAATAAATCCATCTATTACTAGAAACTAGATCAAATACCTGATGCAAATCGAACAGAAAACACGAAAGAAGGACATCCTCTTCTTAAAGGAAATACCAATTTACGTACGCTATTTATACTAGATTATACTTTTATGTAAACATGCTTTATTTCGACAATCGAAAGCGAATGTAGGATGTGAACAACCAAGTGGGTATCTCTCTGAAAGAATACCGATATCTAAACATATCATATTTCTTTTATCATATTCTTTGCACAACATGATGCGTCACTTACAAATTACATTCTTATCCTTTTCATTTCAACAAATTGATTTTTTTAGAAAACAAGATATTTTTAGCTTTTCTTATGAAAGGTTACCGTATCTGAACTTCCTGGTAGAGAAAATATTGCTTATATGTGTATGAAGAAATGTACGAATACATAATAGCTGGCATAATGAACGGAAATGTGAAAGATTTCTAAACACAACTTCTTAAGCTTCACAATGTATGACATACAAATGAAATGTGAATGTGTCCGAGAATGTATACAAAATTAACATAATTATGATTTTTTAAAGACATTTTCGTACTTTTCCAAGCAACAGTGATTTGTAGACTTATTTAATATACTAGACAGATACAGTTAAAACATTTAAAGTAATCAAACAATCTTACACATAATTTTACAATATTACCAAGGATGATACAGTCCTGATAAAACAGTGTTTTATGTTCTATTTTTACCATAATTTAGTCCTGCTGCCGTGATTCTGGTCTGAAATCCTGGATTTTCGGAGGTGGCAATGCCCAAGCAACAAAACGCAGTTATCCAAAATAATACCATGCTATTGGGCTCTGGCATCGTCGACACGAAGCGCTCCGTTCGAATGAGGTATGATTATAGTCAGAGCGTCACGAGATCTTATCTTATGATACAGGAATTCCAAAAAAGAACTTCCTTATTAATACAAAGAGCATGAGCTGTATGCTATTTTTTGTTTACTTCCTTCTTTCGATTCGAATAACATGTTTAAGGGGGAGTAACTCGATGCTTTCTTGATCCATTAACGATGAGGTGAAGATAAATAATATACATGTGTATATCGTAAATACACGAAATAAAGGGAAACATTTACAATAGAGTTCATGGAAATATTAATACACAGTTACCATACAGGTTAAATAATTATATGAATAATATTACATACTACTAAACCACTTTGCGTTACGTATGATAAAAACACATATACGTAGTTTAAATATCACTCAACACTTTATCTTTTGTTATTTATTAACCGAACTAATACATTTCCTGAATTTATTTATTTATTTCATGCATCCATCTTTAATCTTAAATCAAAATATATTTCATAAATTTATTTGGTTTTATGATTAATATTATATCATTCAACTAATATTAATATGATAACATTTCTACCTCATGGTGTCGACCTATTATAAAGTTACATTATAATAAACTGCAGATTCCAAAATCCTACGATCTCCATTGAAAGTGTCAGGAACAGCAGCATACGACACGGGCATTAGCCTATAATTAAAAGGACAATTACTAAATGTTAACAAGCATTGTATTGCTTAAACTTAATGGATCAGAAATCCATTAAACATTGTATATGTTGGAGTGATGTCTGCCCCAACGCTATGGCCCGTTGCCAACCGTACCCAGACCTCATCACCGGGAGCCAGCATTGTGATAGCTGATGCTGCGCCCGTTGTCCAATAGGTATCGTCTCCACTTATGGCTGACCCTATTACAGCACCGTTACGTACCAGCTGTGTGGTTATCCACTGAACAGAAGCAACCTCAATCATCCATGAAAACTGGTATACGCCGACCTCAACACAGGTAAAAACACCGGTTTTCGAGCTGTAATGGGCTCCGATATTGGTGATGATGTGGTCAAACGTAACGATATGTTCTGCAGCAGGATCAGTGACCGTATGTGAGAGAATGGCATGGAAGGCAATAATGCTGTCGGTTGTGGAATCTGTGAAATATAATATCCTTAAAGACAAGATGAAAAAACCTATTTATGAATTACATGTTCACATATGATATAGCAGGAAAATGTAACATATCAAAACATTACTACGCGCGACTTTGTTAAAGAGTATTGTGGTCAAAATGAGGTGGGAAAAAAAAGTAAATGGTATTTTGTTTTTGGTTCAGTCGATAGAATAACGCTTTAATGGAAAACTAAGCGTCCAACAATTAAGTGAGAAACTTATAACGAACATTTAGAACCTGGTTCTTAACTCTTATAAGATCGCAAGTTTCGGCAAACTACGAACTCCGGAGATAGGGATGGGATATATTTGGGCGGTGGACGGGATAGGGATTTGGGGCTCAAACATACATGTTCATTTCTCAAATCTGATGGAATGTTGAAGTCAAATCTGATGGAATGTTGAAGACAGAACATGGTATGTTGTACGAAATATTATACAATGATTCACTACTGTTGTATTAACTGTTCTAATATAGTAAACGCATACGGAACTTAACTTATCAGTAAAAAATATGTATTTTAGAAAACGCACAATTGGCAACTTTGTTCATTTTATGTTTATATTTCGAATCGAAACAATAACTTATCTGGTTTACAAATATAATTACAAAATATAACTATCCCTTCATAAAAATGGATACAAATAAATGCAGACAGAAATTTCTTACCAACACGAGGGTTTACTTTCTTAACGGCTTCATCTGAAATCAGAAAAGGTATCGATTTGTCAAGGAAGTGAATACACGGTAAACACGTTCTAATGGTATAAGGGCGTATAATAAATTGGTATCATTACATGAAAGAATGTTTAATTCCAACATCAAGAATGTTTGTAGGTCTTGAATTGTTCTGTCTTTTGAAGAAAAAATCAGTAAACATAAAAGAAACGATTGGCTAGTATCACATTTTCTTCTTCTTTAGAAGCCCATGTAAAAAGTAAGCTCCACATTAATTCAAAAACAGATCAGGTAGACGTGTTGTACAAACAGTCTACATTGGATTTCGTAACATAGCATGGACTGTTTATCAAGACCTATGAACTTGTTTTACCAATGCTACTAATTCATATCGGTATCCTCTTGTTTGGCTTTCCGTTTTGAAATGTGCCGTACATTTAACGGTATATATAAAGTTAAGAAAACAATCTGATTTCATACCAGGGTTTCTTTTTCTTGATTGGGACTTTCCGTCGGATATTGCCAAACCATCTGGTATACCGAGTATGTCTGGGCCTGGTTTGGTGTTGTTCACAAGGTCAGATTTCGGCTCACGTTGTTCTTCAAACATCGGTGTTTTATCTTCAAATGCCGGTGTTTGATCTTCAAGTGTCGTGACTTTCTCTTCAAGTGTCATGATTTTCTTTTCAAGTGTCATGGTTTTCTCTTCAAGTCGTGCGTTCTCCCTCTGTAGTGATTCTGTGAAGGTAGATTGACAATCACTGATTACTGATAATGGACAGATCGGGTTTATCACTATGTGTAGGCTTGTGCAAGTGAATATTACTCATAGGTATTAATACAACATTATTCTGCTGTAAATATAACATATCTTACAGAATTAAGGTTATCCAACAAGTTTTTTAAAAATTGTATGCCGATCTTTGTCAACTTGTTTTCTTCATTTAGGAAATATTAAACAAGTGCATGATGCCCACAATAAATGTTTGATAGCTTCAAAACATTAGCTTAAAGCAGGAATGTAAACATAAATGTGGAGTAGACAAACACAGTGCATACACTTGTATTACCTATTTGCGATCCATACTTGTTAAGGAGAAGTCTGATGTCACGCATTTCTGTATCAGAGGTCCCATCACCAGTCACTGAGGGACTTGCTACCGCAAAGGACGCGTCCAATAGAAGGTTGCATATGGCTAGAACACAAAGCAATGACATTTTTACAATAGTTTTAGAAATGAGGTGTGATCAAATGCGCAGCTTATTTTATAGTGGGGCATGTACATTGTAGGTCAGATAAGGCGTAGGCGACACACGACCTTAAAAAGAGATAATAGGACGAAGTGTGTATATATAAGATATACAGAAATGCTCGAAACACACTTTCAAATGTATACAAATATAAACCCTCTCTCTTTTCTAATATGTTCTGCAAATAGAAGGTAAAAGGAACATTGGATTACTATAGAGGCACGGTAGGTGAGTGGTAGGATGCCGGGCTCGTGACTAAAGGGTCGAGGGTTCAAATCATTTCATGGCACTGTGCTGTATCCCCGAACAAGATTATTTATTTCGCGTGTTCCTGTCTACTCAGCGGTAACTGAGAACGTGTTTTGGCAGTGCTTTAATCGTTAAATGGCAGCACCGGCTGTGTGCTTCCCAGGAAGTTGAAAAAGATATTGGCTGGTTGCAAAGGCTTTACGACCAGACTAATAATTTGTGAATCGCTTTTACACGGCCAAGGTTGTAATAAGGCGGTATATAGGAACCTCAAATTATTCTTATTATAATTTATACGAACTTTAAATTTAATGTTAGTTAACATAACGGTATATAAGTCGTTTATCATAGTATGCTTTACGGTACAATTTCCTTTTGGGTCAGACTTCACTTTAGGCTTAATGTATTTTGGCTTGTAGCACATATCAAGGACCGAAATTGTAAGGCATATAAGTTTGTTTAGAATCCATTTTTTATCTACACGTGTAAATTGCTTGTTTGTTTGTTTGTTTGTGGGTTTAACAGCCTTAAAACAAATGAAGACGAACCTGCCAGTGTAAAAAATTGCTTTAACAACAAAACAAAACAAAATAATCTATATTTTATCTGTATCCTTCGTAGCGCCTTTATAACAACACAACTGTTACAGTGAAATTGATACCATTGTCCTTACCTGAGATACATGTTTATCTATTGTGGCAAAGAAACACATTTGTTATGTTGTGGTTTTAGCTCAGTGAATCCGGAATCCGTTATACATCGCAGACATAGGTTGGATGTCTGTCTCACTTTATGGTCCTTTCCCATCCGGACGTAAGTCTCATCACCGGGGGCCAAAATCGGGATAACTGATGCTGCGTTTGTTGTCCAACAGTAATTGTATCAACTCAGAGCTGTCCCAAACAGATCATCCGTTACGAATCAAATCCATATTTATGACGACGCATGCGTTTACTGCATTAGAATAGTAAAAATACGCAAGTTGTGAATCAGGGTATATAAATTACGTCTAAAATGGATCATGTTTAGTTCTTACTCAGGCTGCTTAACGAACAGATGTATTTCGTATATACATTATCGGATTGATATTGAAATAGTGAGAATAAAATATGTAGTGCTGCTGCTTGCTTTGCAACAAAGTTTGATAATATTTTCGCCAAACTCAGCTCAAGAGATACCACGTCCTTGTCATCGAGGGATCTACCTTTGAACGTGATGGCCTTGGATTGGCGAAATTCTCTACAGTACAAGATTCAACAACCAGGTTCGATATTTCCGTTTACATTTTCTTAATCAACATTTGGCCTTACCTTGAGGAAAACAATGCTGTATTGCCCGAAGTAAAAACAAACTCCATATTATTGTGAACATTAAAATATATGTAAGCTGCCAATGTTTGGTCACAATACTCGTTTGATGAGTCCCGTAGCAGTCATTCCCTGCCACGTGACCGGCTTCTACCGTTTCATATGTAAATGCATTTTGTATGTAGTCGGAATTTTCTTCCATACGTTTGAGATATGTTTTTATTATCCACAGCCGACAGTAGCCTTATTGCATTTCATGCATACAGTAGGTGATCAAGCATCAGAGCGTATCGTTCCGTTTGAGCAAATCGACAAAAATATCAGTGCCCATTTCAGCTAAACAATCGACATATTTACCTGTGTATAAGCTGGCGTATACAATTGTCATTGCTATTCAAAATACTGCTGGCCACTTAATGATAACAGAGTAAGTTCGTAACGGTGTGTTGTGGTTCAGCTCTGGGTGGAGACGATACAAATTGGATAATGGGCACAGCATCAGTTGTCACGATGTCGACCCCTGACGATGAGGTCTCGGTACGTGTACGAGTTGTGATGGGACATATCAGCGGGGCAGACATACACCCCTCGTTCAGAATGTTAAATGGATTTCTTTTTCAGTGAGTTAATCTAGGAAATATAACTTTCGTTTACGTTAAGTAATAATCGCTTTAACCTTAGTAAAATACATGTCGTTAATCACGGTTCCTGGCACTTCAAATGAAAATGCTAGGATTTGAGCAGCTGCAGGTTGCAGGTTGCATGTATTAAAGCAAAATTTCAACACCTTAATATATGAATTTATTGTCATTTCATCTTCGCTTAACAAAATGGATTTATTTGACTATTGAATCTATTATAATGTATGTGAACATTCGAGATAAATAAAGTAAATAAACCTTATAATTAATTAACTAAACTAATATATTTATGAAATACATAAATTCATTACATACATAAATAAACATATTTAGATGGACTTATAGTGTGTATAATTCATAAATATGTGTTCTTTACATACCAATAATGAATATATAAAATATAACGAATTTATTCGATTAATGAATCGATTATATCAGCAAACTAATATAATTTTATATAATATAATTCTTGCATTCAATCTTTTTATAAATAAGTAGACATTCTAAGATAAACTTAAAGTATATTACATTCATGAGTATGTGTTTTAATTATACGTGTCACATTTGTGTGACCGTTCTTATTATTATAGCCTTCACGGCGACCGTGTACATTACATGTATATATAGCCACAGGCATTCAATAAGTGAGGAGTTACTCCCCCTTATACATGTATTCAAATCGAAAGAAGGAATTCTAGTAAACAAAACTAGAGTACAGGTCATGCTGTCGTGTTTGAGGAGATCGTACGTTCGAATTCCTGTATTATAATAGTGACCACGTGACACCGTTAATGTATCAAACCTTATTCGAACGAGGCGCTTTATGCTGACGATGGCTGGGTCCAGTGGCATTGTACTTTTTTGTTTAGCTGTGATGTATTGGTTTGACATTGCCGTGTCCGAGAATCCGGGATTTCAGACCAGAATCACAGCGGCAGGACTTAATTACGGTAACGATTGAATTTAACACAGTTTTAGCAGGTCTGTAAAGTAACTTTTTTTTGGAATGAATGAATAATTCTGGTAAGCATTATATATGTATCATACTATTTAATCTATATAGGTATTAAATCTACGTAAACATTGATGTGCTTCGGAAACAATCAACGTAATGTAAATACCATCTGACTAGTATATTTAAACAATGTGTACACATAACTGTGTTATTATGTAAATAATAAGACATTAATGCATATTTAATTTTTATAAACTTTCTCAAACGTATTATATACTTACGTTAAACATGTATTCCAGAGAGCTGATAGCGTATAGTGGTTATTAGTTGATATTCTCTCACTCATATAAACAGCATACCAGCTTGCATATATATTCATACATTTACTCATGTTTTCATTTAAGCAACCTTTTGTTTCTACACAAGTTCATACCTGGTTATATTTCATCACATAAGGACAAAATGTCTACAATAGTGTTTTGATTGTGAGCTTTATATATTTGTATTCAGTGTCATTGTTTATTTCATACACTCGTTTTGGTATCTAAGATTTCCTTCCTTAACCGTTGTTACATAGATACAATATTTAGTTTAAACCATATTTTATTCCTATCAATAAACATGTACAATTACATAGACATTTCATTCAGATGATTGGGAAACAAGTACTGTTGTACTTATACATAGTCCTTCTCACCATATATAACAAGCTTTGCTGATAAAACATGTATAACTTTGCAGTGATAGCCTAAATATGTACATAAGAAATTGTGAAGAGAAACAGATAGAACATGGATAAAGATAGTAACTGATGAAGTTTTACCCGGTTGGATGGGTAGTTGAGTTTACATGATAACTTTATGTGGTTGAATTATAATTGCTTGTAAATCTTCTGGTTGATTTGATAGAAATTTGAGTAGCTATAAAAATGTTTACATTTTGGTCATATGTTTTTGATACATCACCAAACAGTAATAAATTAACACTGAATTGGTAAGGCAATGGAGTCAAGTATCTTTGGCGTGATTCAATGTGATTGGTACAATATAACAAATAATGGGAACTGTCTTCTACAAAATGTCCACATGCACATAAGGGATTATCAACAAGATTTCTTTCAAAAAGATGGCGTTTTAAAGAACTGCAACCGAGACGTAGTCTAGTATGATATATTTAATATTGTCTCGACCCTACATAATAATATCCAGGGGGCGTCCCCTAGAGTTCTGGTCGAGATAGGACTTGAAGTTGGGACACGAAGGATGAAAACGAATCTCCTCAGGAGTATTATTCCAAAGAGAAATAACTGAGGGTAGGAAAGACTTACGATAAAACTCAGTGGTGCATCTGATACCCGTAAGATCGTTACCATGCCTAGTGCTGTAGTTATGCATTTCAGACATGCTAGGAGGTACAAGCTTGAAAAGATAATCAGGAGTGAGACGATGAAACATTTTAAAAAATTGTGTCAATTTATGTTTTTTCCTTCTTTCATTTAAGTTTTCCCATCCGGTTTCTATATACAACTTATTTAGATTGTAAGTTTTGTAGCACCACATACTATTCTCGCTGCCTCCTGGTTAATTTTCTCAAGCTTATTTACATATTCAATAGTTAATTTGTCCCAGACGACGTCAGCATATTCCAAAATAGATCTTATAAAAGTAAAATATAATATTTGTAAACATTTTCTATCAAGGGTAAAACGTATTTTCCGTAAAAGGTTTAGTTTAGTCGTCACCTTGTTGATAATGTCATCAACATGTATAGACCAACTACAATCTTCAAACAGTGTAACACCTAAATATTTGTGGCAGTTCACATTTTCTATTGGGGCATTGTTAAGATA